GTATTTACTTTATTTATTCATTTTTTGAGATGGAGTTTTACTCGTCACCCAGGCTGGAGTGCAGTGGCACGATCTCGGCTCACTGCAACCTCTGCCTCCCAGGTTCAAGCAATTCTCCTGCCTCAGCCTCCCGAGTGGTTGGAATTGCAGGTGCCCACCACCATGTCTGGCTAATTTTTATTTTTATATATTTATTTATTTATTTTTTCTGTGTTTTTAGTAGAGACGGGCTTTCACCATGTTGGCCAGGCTGGTCTCAAAGTCCTGACCTCAGATGATCCACCCTCCTCAGCCTCCCAAAGTGCTAGAATTACAGGTGTGAGCCACAGCACCTGGCTGTGTATTTATTTTAAATCATTCATCTATATTGATTTTGACTCATTAATGAAAAATACTAGAGATAAAATTAAAAATAGGGTTTAAATTCAATGTCATAAATGGTTTTCATTTTAATTTTTAAAAACCTAATAAGGGTTATTCTTACAAGCACATTAGTATATTCATTTAAACCTCAAAATAACCCTTTGAGGTAGTAATATATCTCCAACTTACAGATGAAGAAACTGAGGCACTAAAATGTCCAGTAACTTGGCCAAGATCTCATACCTAGTAATAACAACAGTCATAATAAAAGCAAACATTTACATGGTGGTGCTAGCACTGTTCTAAGTGCTTTCTATACATTACGTAACGTAATACTCCTAATGAGTCTATAAGGTAGCTACCCTTACAGTCCCTAATTTACACATGAAGGAAATGAGGCCCAGTGAGGTTCATCCATTTGCCAAGGTCCCACAGCTGGTAAGTGGCAGAGCAGAGATTTGAAGCCAGGCAGAACCCTTCCTGTTAACCTAATGCAGTACTAACTCTCATTTATTGGTGGCATTTATCCAGCTCTCTATTCACCTAAGTGAATTTTCTAGATAAATACTTATTTCTTTAATAAACAAATATTATTTTATTCATACTTTTCATATTAACAATTGCCTGTCTTTTACTAAATATACTAAATACTGTGCAACTTTTTCCTGATGGCCCAAGGTCAGTGTTATGGCTGCTGTGCTTTATCTGTCCTGCTTGTAGTTTTTACTTTAATTTTTACAGGAGTGCTTAGGTATCTTTTGTAGACATGAGCCAGTCCGTTGTCATTTTGTCACTGTGATTCTGCTGACTGCTTTGAAGCTAGAATCTGTGTCTATCGTAACTATTTCTAATATAAGATTTAATAAGCTTTGAATTGATGCCAACTCTATGGACTTAAGCCCATGACTTTCATTATGACCATGCAGATTTTAGCTGAGATGAGGGGAGTCTGACCTATAGATAAGTATAAGGAATTATTTTACCAAATGGAAAACTATATATGTTATCCAGTGTGCATATTCCTCTTTTTTTGTTGTTTTGTTTTTTTTTTGTTTGTTTGTTTGTTTTTGTTTTTGATTTTGAGATGGAGTCTCACTCTGTGCCCAGGCTGGAGTGCAGTGGTGCCATCTCGGCTCACTGCAACCTCCGCCTCCCGGGTTCAAGTGATTCTCCTGCCTCAGCCTCCAGAGTAGCTTGGGATTACCAGCACACGTCACCACACCCAGCTAATTTTTATATTTTTAGTAGAGACAGGGTTTCACCATGTTGGCCAGGCTGGTCTCGAACTCCTGACCTCAAGTGATCCTCCCACCTTGACCTCCCAAAGTGCTGGGATTACAGGTGTGAGCCATCGTGCCTGGCCATTCCTGTTTCTGAAATCATGATACATATCAGGCATATACATGAGTTTGTTTAAAGTTCACTTTCATCTAGAAGATGAAATCTTTCAAAATGTAAGACTTATTCCCAAATCCAAGTCATACACACTATCCACAAGCTGATTATTTCTATTCCCTCATCCTGCTTTACTTATTTCTCTCCTCGTATTGTGTTCCAAATAGAGCATAATACAAATAAATAACATTTACATGGCAGTTCCTGCATAACGACCATTGTTCTAAGAAATTTTTCCATATTAATTCATGTAATGTTCACAACCACCTCATTTTACAGATGAAGAAACTGAGGTGCAGAAAGATTAAGTAACTTGCCAATCCCATATCTAGAATTTGGGGAGCTAGGATTAGAACCCAAGCAGTTTGACTCGAGAATCTGTGTTCTGTGAACTCTGCTCTACTGTGCCCTGAGAACTGTCCTAAGAGAATAGTGCCTTTGTTTTGTTCACTGCTGAAGGCCCAGGTGTTCAACAAATATTTGTTGACTGTCTGGATGAACTTCCAGCTTCTCTCTGCCTATCCAAGTGCTCAACCCAGTTCATTCTGACTTCAGCCTCAAAGCTTGACTGGCTCTGACAGGCAGAGTAACATTCCAGGCCCTTCTTCCACCTCCTGAAGACTTTATTGGTTGCACTGTCTTTTGGCTCACCCTCACTGGGCATGGAGCCCCAAACCCTTTAGATGGTCAATAAATACTCTCTGAATGATTGAGACTCTGAGCTGTATCAGGCTGTCACCAAACACAAAAGTTTGTGATCAAGTACTGTAACAACAGGATGGTGTCCTAGAAATTGCACTTGACTGAATCAAAAGATTGATTTTTACCTTTTGTGACCTGACCATGCCAATTTCACAACTCTAGCCTTCGGTGTTTTTTCTTTTGTTTTTTGTTTTTTGTTTTTTTTTTTTGAGACAGAGTTTCACTCTTGTTGCCAAGGCTGTAGAGCAGTGTGGCATCATCTTGGCTCACTGCAACCTCTGTCTCCCAGTTCAAGGGATTCTCCTGCTTCAGCCTCCCAAGTAGTGGGGATTATAGGCTTGCGCCACCACACCCAGCTAATTTTGTATTTTTTGTAGAGATGGGGTTTCACCATGTTGGCCAAGCTGATCTTGAACTCCTGACCTCAGGTGATCCACCCACCTCGTCCTCCCAAACTGCTGGAATTACAGGCATGAGCCACCGTGCCTGGCCCAGTGTGTTCATCTTTAAGCTTGAAAGCTTACTATATATAAAGCACTATGCCTTTGGTATGAATTATGTACATATAATCTTTAAAACAATCCTATGAGCTAGGTGCTATTATATGCCCATTGTGCAGATAAAGAATCTGACTAGAGACTAAGTAATTTGTTATGTATTACACAACTAAAATGCTAGAGCTAGGATTCAAACCTATGTATGTATGACTCCAAAGCTTAGCTCTTGCAAACCATGCTATACTGTCTCTCTCTCTCTTTACCATTTTAAGCTTATGACATATAATAACAGCTACCGTGATAATGATTATGGCTTGAACCATAAACTGTGAATTGAAGTAGTTTCCAATTACTGACGGTCTTGAAATTAAAGTAAAACCTGTAAATTCAACATTTACCTTTTATAACCAAAAGCTTCATTGGCTATTTCTGACTTTTCTGGAAGAAATAAAGATACCATGGCAAACAGTAACTTCTCATTTTAGAGATTCAACCAGTTAACAAGTATTTGTTGAACACCTGTTATGATGTCTTGTACTGGGCTAAATGCTGGATATATATAACAATAGTGACTGAGACAAAGATGGCCTCTGCCATCACAGAGGCAGTCTAGAGAAAGAAACAGTAATCAAGCAACATACAGAAAATTATTGGGGAGTGAGAGCAGGAGTGTGGGGGTGCAAAAAGGAGAGTCCATTCCTGGCAGTGTGAGCGACAGGTGAGATAACTACACACAGGAGAGAACGCGACATATTCTAGGAACAATCAAGATGGAACTGCTGATAGAAGGCCTAACTAAAGATTGGATTAGGGTAATGGGGAATCATTGCAGGTCTTTAGGTAGGGAAGAGAAATGCCCTTATGTGTGTTGTAAAAAGATCAGTTTAGCCGGGCGCAATGGCTCACGCCTGTAATTCCAGCACTTTGGGAGGCTGAGGCGGGCAGATCACCTGAGATCAGGAGTTCAAGACCAGCCTGGCCAACATGGTGAAACCCCTTCTCTACTAAAAATACAAAAATTAGCCAGGCGAAGTGGCTTGCGCCTGTAATCCCAGCTACTCTGGAGGCTGAGGCATGAGAATTGGTTGAACCCGGTAGGCGGAGGTTGCAGTGAGCTGAGATCGCTCCACTGCACTCCAGTCTGGCAACAGAGCAAGACTCCTTCTCAACGAAAAAAAAAAAAATCAGTTTAACAATGGTGGGAAAAAAGTGAATTGGACAGATAGGGCCAGACTAGAATCAAAGAAGCCAGATGGATGTTGAATTTAACCAAGAGATGGTGGAAATTGAGACAGTAAGAACAGAGATGGTAATGTGGGAATTGATTCAACATCTATTGAGAAGGGATAGTCTTGATAATTGATAGAGATGCAGAGGAAGCAGCAGCAACTGTCATGGATGTTGTCTAGAGTGTAGGTTTTGAAAACTGAATGGATAGTGGAATCCAAGAGCAGTAGCAGGCGTGCGGAAGATGGCGTTCAGGGTTGCACATGTGTGGCATTAACTTGGCAGCTGGATTTTGGCGTCTGACGCTTAGTAGAGCAGGCTAGGTTCCAGGTGAAGGCTTTCTAACCATCATCAGATACATGGTGCCTGAGGCGAGGAAGTGGAAGGGCTCACCGAAGTGGAGCAGAAAAGCAAAGGGGCAAAGTCAAAGCAGCATCCTGTAAGGAGAAGGCAGAAAAGCGACGCTCATAGAGATGAAGAATGAACCTCCAGAGGCGTCGGAGCAGATTGGAAGAGACACATTCAGGCTCCATTTAACCAGAATAATTCCGTTATCAAAATGGAAGCGCCAAGAAGCATCGTTGATGGCGCTTTGCCACCATCCATCCGTCCAACACAACACCTGCTTCGAAAAGACTGCCTCACGTAGTGACTCACTTACCCACCACAGCCGCATTCTCTACCCCTGCCTCTTGTCTAGTGAAGCTGGCTCCCGAGGCTTCGGGGCCGCTCCACAGGGACCTGAGGACGTCTCCCCGGAGACCCTGACTCAAGCTGCGCGCCGGCACAGCCGGGCAGCGGCTCCCGCCTACTCACCGCACCGGAGGGACGGTCCCTCCTTCAGGCCAATCTCCTTCTCATTGTCCCTGCTGCTGTCACCTGCTGCTGCAGACCAGGGGTCCCGTCCAGTCTTAGCCCGTCCCGTCCTCCCCGCAGCCTACTCGCGGTCCCCTCAACCTCGAGTACACCGCGGCCAGCAGCGCCGTTGGTTTTCCAATCAAATCCTCCTCCAGGCCACCAACCGGCGCTGGTCAGGCCAATGCCGACAATTCTTCCTCCGCCTCCTGGGGCCCCTCAGCCAATCGGGAGCAGCCATGCTGCGCAGTGCAGAGCGCCATAGCGACGGATGACGCCTGCCAGGGAATCGCCGTAGCAACCAGAGACGCGCTAGGTCCACCACCAAGCTTGCAAGCAGAAGAGGAGGCAAGTGATGCTGAAGGCTGTGCTGCAGCCACTTCACTGGAACCTAGAGCTACCTGTGAACAGGTCTCCTAAACGTTGAAGATTTTTCTGGATTTAGGGTGTCTAACCTTTGATGGGAAAGGGCAGCTTCATCTTGGAGTGTTTAACTTTCAAGAACCGCTATGGGCTAAAAATCAATTCTCTTTAAAAGCAAAGATTTAATCTGATAAGGAATCAATGCAGCATGCTAAATATCTTTCATGTGGTGTGAAAATGTCTTCAGTTACTCAAGCCACAGGCAATGAGAATATGGTGCCATAGCACCATATTTTTCACAAAAATAAGAGTGATCTGGGATTCAAGAAACCTGTATGGTACAACTATTGTCAGTTCGTTTTGTGGCCTTGGGCAAGTCACTCCACCTTTTGTGAAAGTCTGAAGCGTCTTTAAAATTTCTGAACTGCATTAGATAACGCTTTAAAAATATACCTGACATTCTGTAACTTTAAATACATGAAAAATGTCAATTTATTGACTGCTCAATTTTGTGCTGGGCATGATTTCAAATTCTTTCCTTATTTCACTTAGTTATAAAACGGAGGCACAAGAAGTTTCCTAAGTAGTCCAGTACGGCAGAGCTAGTAAGTGATGTGAGTCACGGTAACATCTACTTGAGTCTGGTCTTAATCACGATGATGTTCCCTTGACGATTTCTTCGAGTTCTGGGCCCTATTCAACCTCATCTTAATATCACTAAACACTCATGAGTGTGTCAACACTGGTGATTACATCTTCCCAAACTGGATTTTAAATGAATACAGTGAAACCTAACGTTTTTCAGGTTTGGATAGTAAGTAGGCACATTGGGGTAACAATACTTAGGCTTCCATAATTGAAAGCATTTTTTAAAATGAAGATGGCCCTATTTTGGAAATGCAGAAAGGCGAGATGAAAGCCAAACTCCAGTGAGTATAGCAGAACTAATTAAACTTCGGAGAACATAAAACCAACAAGATTTTTTTTTATATGTAAGTTCTAGGGTACATATGCACAACGTGCAGGTTACATATGTATACATGTGCCATGTTGGTGTGCTGCACCCATTAACTCGTCACATTTACATTAGGTGTATCTCTCTCCTAATGCTATCCCTCCCCCTTGCTCCCACCCCATGACAGGCCCTGGTGTGTGATGTTCCCCTTCCTGTGTCCTAGTGTTCTCATTGTTCAATTCCCACCTATGAGTTAGAACATGTGGTGTTTGGTTTTTTGTCCTTGCCATAGTTTGCTGAGAACGATGGTTTCCAGCTTCATCCATGTCCCTACAAAGGACATGAACTCATCCTTTTTTATGGTTGCATAGTATTCCATGGTGTATATGTGCCACATTTTCTTAATCCAGTCTATCATTGATGGACATTAAAACCATCAAGATTAATGTTCCAATAAAACAAAACAAGGTGACAGGGGCAGGAAGACCGATGCTGAGTAGAAAAAGTATTCTATACACACATTCTACATATTAAGTAGTCAGCCTGGCTTGGTGGCTCGTATCTGTAATCCCAGTACTTTGGGAGGCCGAGGCAGGAGGATCACTTGAGGTGAGGAGTTTGAGACCAGCCTGGCCATCATGGCCAAACCATCTCTGCTAAAAACAGAAAAATCAGCGGGCATGGTGGCACATGCTAGTGCCTGTTACTCAGGAGGCTGAGGCACGAGAATTACTTGAACCCAGGAAGCGGAGGTGCAGTGAGCCAAGATCGCACCACTGCACTCCAGCTAGCCAGACAGAGCCAGACTCTATCTCAAAAAATAAATATTAAGCAGTGAGACATGACTCCACTGAACTTCTCATGTTCACCAGAATACCAATTGTGCTTCCCATCTTTCCACTACTCAGTGAAATTAAAGCCTTAAACTAATGTTTTAGCCATCCCAGAATATTCCCGAACTTCCCTGAAAGCTGCAGAGATTAAGAGGCAAGAATGACACTGCCTCTAAGACACGTACACTATCATCTCAAATGTTAAGGGTCCCTCTGTAACATGATAAAAAATAAAATCCCACAAGAGATCTTGCCCCAAGCTTATAGCTTATATAACAAGGCTCAAAACTATGAAAACATCTTTTTCTAAGGCCTTTTTTAAAATGAAATGCAAAACATAAATTATACAGTTCAAAAGTAAAACAGCATAATGTCTTAACTACAGCATAAAAGTAACAAATCTGCATGTAAGTAGATATTCAGGATCAGCTCATCAAGAAGATAAAATCACTTCCCAAAATTTATAAAAAGACTTCAGCCCAATGGTCTAGAATAAGAAAAGGCTATTTACACAAACACCCCCCCCACACACACACAAACACAAATCTAAGTGGAGGAATGAGAATGATCGTGTAGACTGAAAGCAGAAGGCTGAGTACAATTTGAAGTAAAGGCAGAACTTAAATTGGGCTTTGAAAGAAAAGCAGAGAAGCAGAAAGGAAGGTCTACTAAACAACAGAAATGTTTTCATTAAAAGCATAGAGATAGGAATGTGTGGGTCCACCATGAAAAGAACTGATACTTAAGAGATCAGATATGCCTTTATTGGCCAGATCAAAGAGAGTTACTCTTTTCCTCTCTCCTCCTACAGAGTCTCAAAGGTCTGTAGCTAGAAATTATAAATTGACAAAAAAAAATTCCCTAAAATAAATGTAAACTAAATTTTCAAATGAAATTTCCAAAAACATAAGTGTCTATCCCCATCTTATTCCAAAGGGTATCAAACTCATGGTGAGGTTATCAGAAGTTTTTCAGTGCAGAAAACACAAAAGGAAAGTGTTCCACACATGCCAAATGAGAAACAAACCAAGACCTGTAATTTTCTGTTAAGGAAAATACTTCATAATAAAGTTAGTCACTAAAAACAAAGAAAGAGGCCGGGTTCATGCCTGTAAACCCAGCACTTTGGGAGGCCAAGGCAGGCAGATCATGAGGTCAGGAGATCAAGAGACCATCCTGGCTAACACAGTGAAACCCCGTCTCTACTAAAAAAAATACAAAAAATTAGCAGGGTGTGGTAGCGGATGCCTGTAGTCCCAGGCTACTCGGGAGGCTGAGGGAGGAGAATGGTGTGAACCCGAGCCAGAGCTTGCAGTGAGCTGAGATTGGGCCACTGCACTCCAGCCTGGGTGACAGAGCCAGAACCCGTCTCAAAAAAAAAAAAAGGAGAGAGAGAAAGAAAGAAAAGCCCTGGAGAGTTCAGTATTATAATGAAAATCATTACACATCACACAGCAAGATTTCTAAAATCAAGGGGGAATAAATGGATTAGCCTTTTCTTAGAGAGCTTTAATTTCAATTATTTCTTAACCAGCAAATGCTGTTTGTTGTGAAACAAACACTGTTTTATTTTTTTCGCAACGTTTCCTGTTTTCTCTCTCCTACCGAAGCCTAGGAATATTAGGAGGCCAGAAACAGACATCACTCGTTTACCTTCCTCTCCTATCCCATCTCAAGCTGAGACAGAGATGTGGTTCTCCTAATAATCAGAATACAAAGTAAAGACAATAGCCAACAACTAATTAAGTAGATTTTTATTGCTCAATCAACTTCAGTAACATCTCCGAAAAAATAGTTTTCATCTAATAATTATGAAACAAATTTGAAAGGCAGGATCATTCACAATATAGACCTGGTAGAGGCTTATACTTCATATAAATGAAAAAATATCAGTTCTACAATTTAAATGTTTACTTTGGATTTTATTATAGAAGAAAATATCATTGTAATTATAAAAGCCATAAAAATTGGAACTGTACTGTGAAATTACATCAAGGTATCAAATTTTATATAAATGAACAATAAAATTCAATTTTTCTTTATTTAAACATAGTAAACATTGGAAGACAATCTCCCCCATGGGGGAAAAAAAAAAAAAACAACCTTGAATAATAAAGCAACAAAAAAAAGCCACAACACAAAAACTAATCAGTGTGCAAAAATCTGATTTAAAAAAAACAAAAAAACAAAAAACCTGGGGTTTAACAATTACTCTAAGTCAAATGTTGAAGTCAGTATGTGCTAATTAAATTTCATTTTTAAAATGATCTTTGGATGATTACATTTCCAACTATGTTTTCCTATAATTGACACTTAATGTTACTTTTTGAAAAGTCAGAAAAGAAACCAATTTATATTAAGATGGCCAAATTTTGCAATTTGAACACTATTTTAAACTTTGAACGTCCCTAAAGTCTTTAAATTTACTTTCTAAAATAAATAATTGTTGGAATAAACCAAAAGACATTTCACATATTTGCACTGCATATGATAAAAATGATGTGATCTACATAAATAAATTTAAAACATTAAGTTATTTCATATAAACATTTTTAATTACAATGTTATATCAATGGCTTACACAGTTGAAATCTGAGCACTTTAAAACAGGATTCACACTTAGTTAAACTGCTGAGCACATTTATAGAACTGATGTACATCATATAATCCTTTAAACAGCAAACTCTGGTGTTATACCTCAGTTTCAGAAAGCATTTTTCTTTCAACAGAATTTTGAACCTGCCTTTGTGAAAGAAAACAATTAGAAAGCTATTATACCCACACAGAAAATTTAAGTATGCGGAAGAAATAAACTTTTTTGGATGAAGAAAACAAGTTGATTTTGAGTGGTAAACAAATCTGGTTTACAAATACATGCATTAGCACATAAAATATTTTGTCCTAGACATCTTTACAGAAGACTTGGCAAATATGAACAATGGTATGCCACAGCTTTTTAAAATGACGTTTAACAGATATAAGATCAGAATCATTCACATTCACACAAACACACACACACTTTAGAAAGACTGTGTGCTTCGCTTCAGCATATTTAATATCACTAAAGAATATAAAGAATCATCCTTTTATCATAAGGAATTTATGTCATTGTTTTCTCAAAAGCTGCTATTTTAGATTGAAACAGCATTCAGAAAAAAGTACATTTCAGATGGTCAGCATTAGGATTTACTACAGACTTTGTAAACAGGTATCTATAAATAAATAAAACTAGGGTGGAGAAAAGAATATCCTGAGGTGGCTCTGTGGCCAGGGTATTCAGTAGCACTAAGCTCCATTCTGGAAATCAAGGCATCTAAAGAAAAGTGCAGGGCTGAATTTATTTTGTAAATGGAATATGTACAGGTTTAATTATTTTGCACCTTGAGGTAAATCAGTACACAGCAACTACTACTGCTTATACACACTTATTTAAGGCAACTTTATTTAAAAATCAATATATGTAGTAAATTATATCTGTCACTGTCTCAATGAATGTTATCTATGATTATTTTTCAAAAACAGTGGAAGAAATATAATCACTTAAAATAAGCAGTTAATTACTTAAACATGAGTTACCTTTGCTCTTAAACGGAGTAGTCAGATCATTTTGTCAGTCAAGTAGTCAAAAGAAAGCAGAAACCAGTAAAATTAGAAGCACTGTGAAAACATTTTGAGTGCAAAGTATTTTGCAAGTGACGGTTTTTCTGGCACTGGATACTTACTATACATAATTAAATAAAATCACAGAAACACTATGATCCCAGGTAGTTTTCAGTTTTAAAATGTCTTCCTGTAAAGTAAGTACAGTTGTTACCCCCGATGTCCAGACACAAGGAAATGATGTGAGGAAATCCTCTTGTTCAGGTACATCAGGGGAGTTTTAAAAATAGCAGCAAATACTGGGGTCTTTGGAAATAATTATGCTGCTACAAATGAAAAGGAATCATTACAATGGAAGCTCATAAACAATAATAAGCACCGTAGGTAATACTCTATCAATTGCCAATAGAGTCTAACTCTTTTTAGGCAGTACCAAATGATGACAGCTATATATTTTCTAAAGAAAAGCAGCTACATTTCCAACCTCTCATCCAAGGCAGAAGTTGAATCCATCATTTTAACTAGACTCTTACAATATGGTCTTAGAGGAGGACATTACCTTAGTTAATAAATAGTTTATAATGAATTTAAAACACCAGACTTGCTAAAATTTCAGCTTTTGGCATTCCTCATGATCCTTTATTAGATTAAT